TGAACACACAAAAAAAACAAAAATACACAATATACAGTAACGCACCCCCACATGCCATATGTTGCGGCTCCCGGCCCGCCGCATGGCGCAGCCGTGCCCGACCAATATTGCGAGCTTACCTGCGACAACGTGGTTGCGCAGACCACAAGCTCCGCCCCTCAAATTTATACGGGCGTGCGCGTGACGTCACAACGTCAACGCACACGCACATTCTGGGGTCAGAGGTCACCCTCTGACCAACCAGAGCTCAGAGAGGGATATTTAAATCCCTAATTCACTCCAGTTCCTTGCCCTGCCGTGGTTTCCTGTTCCTGGTTCCCGAGAGTGCGTTTATCTTTGTGAATCTGACTTCCTGGTATCCTGATCTTGGCTTTTTCCTGGTTATTCCGAATTCTGGTTCCCCTGACTTGACTTGTTTAAACGGTATCTCAGTATTTCTGGCTTCCTTGATCTCGGCTTTCCCTTTGACCATTCTCTATCTCTAGCGTATTAGTCCGGCCATTCTAAGGTCCAGTTTACGCTCTGTCCTTTTATTTCCTTTCCTTTTTTATGTATATGTTTACATAATTTCTGCGTGTTGGACCACACTAGCAGCCATGACACCATATCCCCGAATAGCTCCTGGTCCTATCTACGATCCCTGCAAATAGCGGAGTGATCAGATGTACAGAGCCAGAGGAATAATCATATAAAGTCTAAGCTTGAGGCTCTGTACATACCCGAAAATAGCTCCATAGAATCACTTAGTTTTGGCCGGTAATTCAAATTTCCCGTCTAAACTATGTGGTGGCCAATCAGAAGAAGGGGCGCAAACCAATTTGCCCCAATCGGCGCTCAGGGTAGGGAGGTGTCTCGCCGGCCAACTGGGAGAAAGGGCGCAAAACCAGTTTGAATGATAGCCCTTCTCCTATTGGCCAACATGGACTTCCAGGCGGCCAGCAAGACTCTGCGGCTTGTAAAGCCGACTCACAGTTCCAGGGATTCTGCTGGGGCTTGCGTCTCTCTCCGGTGGATATCTCCACGTAGGTAGCAACGGAGAGAGCACTTGTGGCGGTATTCACTGCGGTCCTTTAAGAGCATGACCTGGCCCAAGTGATGATGTCAGAGCTGGGAGGAAGCCGTCACTTCCACCCAGCTAACAGAGCCGTGCAGGAGGAGAGCACTGTCGAAGGAGAGGAGGGAGTCAGAGCTCTGACTCCCATCAGCCTAAGGCAGCCACTGGACCCCGAGGAAGTCACCAGGAAACAGGAGGGTGACTCAATTATTTTTACAGTTTGCATGTGTGTCTGCATGGGTATCAGTTTGCCTGTATATGTCTGTATCGGTATCTGTGTGTATCTATTTGCATATGTATCTGTATGAGTGTCATTTTGTGTATCTCAACGGTTGTCATTAAGTGTGTCTGTGTATCTGTTTGTCTGCATATATGTGTTTGTGTATCTGCATGTGTGTCAGTGTTAGTATCTTTAGAAATGTCCTTCTGTGTGTCGGTGTATCAGCATGTGTTATATTGTGTGTATCTGCATGTATGTCAGTGTGTTTAGCTGTATGTGTATCAGTATATGCACCTGTGTATCTGTCACCCCCACACACAGAGCTTTATGGGTCGGTGCTGCACAACGACGAGAAGCACTGACGTTTATCGCCTCCACGCTCTGCAACTTTCCGCATAAAAATTAATTGAACCAAAGCACCTCTATGAGGAGATGCGGAATGGGGCAGAGCAGAGTTTTTCCTGTGTGTGCATTAGCCTAGGAAAATATTAGATTGGCTTAGATTGTCAATTTTGATTATCTCAGCTGAGGAGCGGAGGTGGGACCAGCGCTGGCGGACCCATGCAACACAAGGAAGAAAGGTAAAATTTCTACTTATTTAAGGGGGGCTGTTAAGCTAAATAGTATTTTTAGCAATATAGGGTCAGGAATACAGGTTTGTATTTCTAACCTTATAGTGTTGTTTTTGCCCTAGCCACACCTCCCCTGGCTTAGACTGACGCAGCTTGCATGGAAAAAAATAATAATCTATTTTAATCAGTTGAACTTAATTTCCAAGTTTTTATCTCTTGCTTTATAAATAGAACTTTAATCACATACAAGAGGCTCCTGCAAGGTCTAGAGGGCTATTAACAGAGCAAGAGGTAATTCAAAATGAAACAGGATGTGCAGTATAAAGGTTTAAACATAAGATCTCTCTATCGATTAAACCATAGGTCTTGGAGACAGCATATGGTGTTCTCAAGGATCACCTGGATCCTCGGCTGGCCCGAGTGGTTTCAGAGGCCCTGTAAGTCACCTAATGCCTGAAAGAGGAATTGTCTGAGAGCCGTTAATAGGATAGACTGCATTTTTATTATGCAGAATCACATTTGTTCAACCACTTTTTTTTCCACGATTTTATGCTCATTTCCTTTAATTTGTTTTACCTTTACATTGATGTATTTTCGGCTGCACCAGTGATACTATAATTATATTACTATTTCTTATTTTTTCTATCTTTATCCTACAAAAACCTTTCACAACACAAAACAGTTTTCTCTATATTGCGTTTGCTTGACTTAATACTGTTTATTATTTCAACTATGTATATGCAATGTGGTGTGATAACATAAAATAAAAAAACAGGTATTCGATCTTAATTTACAGGACATGCACGGGGAGACTGTGCAAGTCACAGGCAGGGGGAAGTGTGACTAGGGCAGAGCTCGACAAATCCCAGGCACCAGGTCAGAGAGCGCAAGGTAGCAGAGAGGAGCTGCAGGCACAGTACTGCACCCTCGCACGCACAAAGAAAGCAGCCCCACTGGACCCCAGGGAAAGACCCACTCAGCTCTCCCAAAGGTAGGGAGGCTGAATAGGTTTCAATTAAAACAAAAATGTCAGTGTGTGCAAGTAAGCTTGTTGTCAGCGTGAGTGTGTATGGCAGAGTGTGTGCACGCTTTTAGGTATCTGCCCCCACTCAGCCTCCCAAAGCTAGGGAAGCTGAGTGGTGATCAATTAAAAGTAAGTGTGTGTGTGTGTATATGTGAGCCTGTCAGTGTGTGCAAGCCCATCAGAGTGTGTGCGTGCATGCCTGTTGTCAGCGTGAGTGTGTGCGTGTGCGCGTTTAGGTACCTGCCCCTCCGAAGTATGAGGAAGGTGTTTTTGCTCACAGTTTTTCCCACACCGTGCCAGTTTTGCCATGGCTGGTTCCAATCTTGATAATCTTAGCTAAACCAATGCTTTCCTCTTGGAAAGCATAGTGAGCAAATGTGCCAATCTGCATCACCTCATAGAGATGCATTAAATTAATTAATTTCTATGAGGAACATTCAGCGCCTCCATGCAGAGCTTGGAGACACTGAACGTGTTTATACTGAAAGGCTTGCAGGGACAGGCTATAGACACCAGAACTACATCAAGCTGCAGTGGTTCTGATGACTATAGTGTCCCTTTAAGAATTGCATTTTCTTGTTGAAAATGGTTGTCTCCTAACTTTTTAGCGGACTCCTAGATTCCAAACAAATTTGTCAAGCCCTGAACGAAGTGGTTTAACGCCTGAGTAACAGAGAATTAAGCGGTTAAAGTGCAGGACCATTATGTATACACCAAAACTGCTTCAATAAAGGGACATTATAGCCACCTGGACCACTTCAGCTCATTGAAATCCCTGACCCCTTTAGTCCTGCAATGTAAAACCATTTATGTGCCACGGGGGTGGATAGACCAGAGGGCACTATAGAGCTAGGAATACTTTTTACACTATAGAATCCTTTAAAGCTAAAGTTGTTTTGATGACTACAGAGTCTCTTCTAACGGACTGTAGCACGTAATGATGCTGCAAGGTTATTGAGAGCACATTAATTGTACCCAGAGCATTCCACTGTGGAACTTTAGCTGGCCTTATAAGCATCTAATGCAGAAAACCAATCTCTTGGAGGACCAGCAGAGGTGTACCAATCTCAAAATCTAAGGCATTCCTCTACATATTATCACCACAGAACTTCTGTGTTACCATCATAGGTTGTTTAAATGCCAATATATATTTAATTCCCTTGTAAGAATAGTATGTAACAGTTTTCAAATAAATTTGAATTTAATTTTGGGTCACCTGGTTCTATTTACTTGCAGACCTAGCTCAAAAGGAGCATCCTGCCAACAAGGTCACTTTCTTTCCAAGACAATGAGCATGGAGATATACTGCTCCCTCTGTAACCTCAATATCTGTACTACTACTTACAGATGATTTTTTTTATCCCATTTGTCTTTTTCTTCTATTTTTAATATTTATTTTTCTACTATCATTCTTTAAAGATATATTTAGACTTTCTTATCTATCAGACAGCCTTGTCCCCCTTGAGTTTCTGAATGTGTTTTGAGCAGGTTTCTTTACTGCAGTCTGCATAGATTATTATATATATTATATATAATACAAAATTGTATTCCCAACACTATAGTGCCGCCCGCACTCCATGGGCAAATAAAGAAGGGTTAAAAAAATAAATAACCTTTAAACACTTACCGGATTCCAGCACCAAGGTTCCTCGGTGCTGGGTCAGGCTCCTCCTGCTCCAATGTCAGCTAATGGGGCAACCTAAGGCACATGCAAATAAGATCTTTCCCATAGGAAATAATTTAATTAAAGGGTTTAGAAGGAGCTGGGAGTACTCATGCAAAGCGTAAGGACGTTCAACATCGTTTCACATGCCAGGAAACGCCTCTAGTGGCTGTCTGAGAGACAGCCACTAGAGGAAGGCTTTAACCCTGCAATGTAAACATTGTATTTTCACTGAAACTGCAATGTTTGCAGCTGGAGGGCTAAACTATAAGGGACACTGCACCCAGACCAATTGAACGAGATGAAGTGATAATGGTGCATATGTTTCCAAGATAAAAGAATCACTGAAATCATTCTTCTTACGGATTGTAAGAGCTTTACACTTTCTTTACTCATCTGTCTGCATATTTTGTGGTACAATACTTGCTCTTGTGATGTGAGATAACAATATTCTTAAGACCATCATGTCCCTATAAATTATATTTATTAATAATAAAGTCAATACATAAAAGCACATGGTTTGTTACAATTACTCAATATACACAAGGTGGGCAATTTCAGAAGAAAAGGGCGTGGGGTTCTATTTGACACCAGATAAGACTGATAGTTACCAAACACAGTGAAGGTGTTAACCATTTTACTGCCTGAAGCTTACACGAAGGAGCACAGTTTCAATGTTTGCCAAGTAGCTTAAGGTAACAAACATACTCATTTCACACAGTTTATGGCATGGGCTGCTTAGAACTTGTAAAATTAGTGAAATGTCAAATCACATTTAAGCTGATCACTTGTACAAGTTACCTTTGAGAAGAAAAAAAAAAAGAGGTTTTATAAAGCACATGCCAAAATAATGCATGAGTAAAGGAAGGGGGTGTTGTTTTACATAACCTCAATGGTGAAATCTGTATATTCCCTTAGTGTTTCTAAATTATTTTTCTATCCAAAAATACACCACCAAATGTTTTCATTAATCAGAAATAAATTAATACTCCTCTGATACCCAGAGAAGGCAATATTAAATGGTGGGTAATGTAGCGTAATGTAATAGGGGTAATGTAAACGAACAGTGCCATTCAAACATCTTCTAAATAATCTCTTAACATTTTAGTGAAATGTGAAGATTAGCAAATGTTTTAAAAATGTATTTGTCTCATGTTCTGGTTGCAAGTAACCTGCACAGAAGTTCCATGCAATAATTTCCCTATCCCTTCCTTTGTAATCTATTCTATGTGATCTGCTAGCTTGCAATCAAAGCGTGAAATGGAACATGAAACATGGGATAATACTTTAAAACGTTTGCTAATTTATTGGTTCAGTTAAAATTCAAAATGTAACTTAAAACATGACTCGGGCTCAAAATGACAATGTCATTTTTTAAATGAAGGTGTGTGGTTTAAAGTTGCAGCATTTTGCAGAGGATTCAACTAAGCAATAACACAAAGGGATCTTCAAGCATCCACACGTTAGATATAATGTGTAGGCTAAGTTACAGGTGGTTATGCTGTTTGTTTTTTTTAAATTTATCTGCCCATTCCTGTAAGATTTCCCTTTTCAATCCAGTATTACAGCTGTATAGTGGGCCGTGACTACAAAGTAGAAAGCAGACAATTTAACTATAACAAACTAACCTTGCTATATTCATGAACTGTATATGGATGAGCTCAGCACTGCCTTAGGAAGGTAGTTGAGCATTATGAGTCACTTTCTGCTCTTGACAGCACAAAATACAATACCAAAATACTTTGCAGAAGCTGCAAAACCCAGGAATTTACAGCAAATTCAGAAACTTCAAAATGTATCTTTTTTCCACCCTCTAATTTTGTATATCTCTCGGAATGCGTTCTTCACAGATTTAAATGTGTTAACTGAGGTGTCCCTTTAACTATGAATTTTTGAGAAAGAAGGGATATCAGACTGAAAGAAATAGTAATGTCATTGAGTAGGTGAGAGAAAGCTAGTGGATACATTTGTGTGTGAAAGAGCAAAATTGGAGAGGATGACATGAAACCCTTGTGCAATCTGGAGACAATAAACAAAAAAGTAAAACTGAATGCAAAGTGACAGATATTGGTTAATTTGACACAAAACATTCTTGTAGCTCATCCCATTGCAAAGATGCCTATTTTGTCCTTATTTATCACAAGCCTTTTCTGTTTCCTTGAACCAAACCAGCCTGTTGGTCATCCTTGCAGTTCACCAATGCCATTCAACTTCAGTTTGGAACAAAAAAAAAGGAAAGAGGGAATCTGGGTAGCATCCCTAGTACAAAATTAACTACCTACATTTCACAGAAAATTGGCACAATCCCCAACCCCCCATTAAAAAGACTCTGCCACTCTTAATTTTACTCATTTTCCCCTAATGTCCTGGAGAAGGCGAAGTCCCATGAGTTCAAAAGATGCTTAATGTTTATTGCGTCGGAGAGTGGGATGGGCACAGGTTGGCACAAAGTCAGTGGTTTAGGTCCATTACATGATAGCATAAGTGAGTTGGTGTGGGACTGCTGCAAAACACAGGAATGGCGAATGTAGGAATGTTGGGAGGGCGTCTTAGCAGAGGACAACGATATATACTGTAGAAGGACCGACCCACCTAGGGAAAGGAGACATAACATGTTACGCAAGACCATTACATACTTTTATTTAAGTGGAATCATGCATCTTTCAGATAATATATGAATCTATATATAAAAAAAAATATGTTCTTGCACAACGAGCCATTTCTTTTCAGAGGTGCCTGGATTTATGTCTGTTTTGGATTAAGGTTTTAGGTCTCCTATCCAAGTCTTATTTCCAGGAAAAAAAAGCAGAAAACAAACTAGATCAGTAAACCAAGTTACTTTCCTTAGGACTCATAGGATTCATATTTTTGGGGAATAGAACAGCTCTGTATTACTCGGATATCATTTACCATGGGTGGTTTTATATTGTGAATAAGCCTCAGACATGACTCAGCTATTCCGGAAGCACAGTATGTTAAATGAATTATTTTTTTTTTATTTAATACAAAACAATCTTACAATTAACCCCTTAAAGGGCCAAAGAGTATTCAAAGTAGTGTACAAAGAACATATGCTAGCATTCCATGATTGGCCTATTAGGAAAATGGTCACCTGTGCCATTTGCATTCACATTGCAAAATTCATTAATTCGATAAAAGGAGCTTCTGGGCAAAGCACAAAAATCTTTGTTAAGTAAGCACTGCTTCTGACGACCTTTCTTTAAAAAAACAACAAAATACCACATAGGTCTATGACTGAGCAATAACATTTTTTTTAAATTTTTTTTATTTCTCTGTCTGCATGGTGTTTAAAAAGAGGTAACAATTGGACTGTTAAATATAGTACAAGCAATAAGATCTATGTAATGAATCTTACATATTAATTACCTGGTGTGTTCTATCTTCCAGTCAAGCTTCTGTCCTCAAAGATGGTAATCTCGATCTGGTGGTGCAGTGAAGGAATAGCGGTGATATCCGTGACATACACCATCTGTTCACTAGTGCAGATCAGCAGGGTTTGCTCTGTATATGCACTGTATAAATCTATAGACAGACCGGTAGTTACAGGTAATTATCAGTAGTGTATCACGATTAGTACTGCACTTGCCAACAGCTGTAGTTAGCATTGCTGTAGGAACCTGGCAGCTGTAGCACTCACAAGAAGATGGCATTAGTTGTGATGAAACTATAAAGCAACATGGACTATAAATGGGGCATGTGAGGGCACAATAAGTGTTCACTAGCAGGGTTAGGAAATGCAAGGAATTGGGTGAATCTAGGGCAGCATGAGGCAACAACACCTATACACGGATTGTGGCGAGGTGTGGGTAAAGCATTAAACCAGACTACAGGCAGGCTAGCAAGACATAGATGGGTAAATCTGGATCACATAATATGATTCTATTTTTCCAGATATAATTTGGCTTTCCTTGTTAGAACCTGCTTTAACGTCTGGCATTATTCAGTAGAGGGGGAATTATGGAGTACCGGATAGAGAATCACAGGTTTTATTTAAAAAAGAGACGAGCTGGAAACACTTTCCAACTCAGGTAATTGCTCAGTTCAGTTATTTTGCCATACAATTTGCCACAACTCAATGTTTAATGAATAACACGTATAGGAGTACATATGGGAAAACTGGAGTGCAATAAAAATGATAAACAGCATACATGCAATGCATGACACGTGCCCTGCCTGAATAAATACCTCTAGTTTGAAAGAAAGGAGCAGGTGTTATAGGGTTAATCTACTTAAAGGAATCCTCCAACCCCATAACACCTTGGTGTCAATGAAGTTATGGGGTCTGGAGGTCCTCAGTTCCGTCTTACCTTATATGGATAACCCATTTTTGAACAGTACAGAATTTTGCATTGAACCTCCTCCAGCCATACCAATAAGCTTTTCCTTTAGATGCTAGTCATAGGCTGAAAGCATCAGCTGACATTCTCAGACTATCACTGGCCATTCATTGCGAGAAATGCTTTAGAAAGTCACATGCACCAAAGGGAACAGCTTTCCTACAAGTGCTGGGGACAGAGAATGAGGCAGAGGGGCAGAATGCCAACAACAAAACATTCTGGAAAAGCATGCCACAAATTTTAAGAATGTTCTTCAATTTAAGAATTTTTTAAAAAGACAAAATAAAAACTAAACTAAAACCCACTGGTAGTAATTCCTGCTTTCATGTATTTGGAAACAATGGAATATATATATATATATACACACACACGCGCTAAATGGAACTCTCATGCGACACTGCCAAGACTAGATGTTACATCTGCCTGCTTGACCTGGAAAGGTGGACTATAGGTCTCCATGTGCTATTAACAGACCTATACCGTATCAGACAAATTCTGTAGAAAGAGGCTGGAGAAAAATTGTCATTTTAGATGTAAATACATCTCAGATCAGTATTTTTTTTCAATCGTTTTCAGATATGTTGTCAATAAATACTTTGCTGCACAATCACACAACTACAATGTCAAATCAATTTCAATCTCAGGGCTCCTGTTAATTTTCTGAAAAATGTCTGTAACTTGTCAGGGAAGTATTCTATTGGACGATAGTTTGTATAAAAAGGATACTACTCTGAGACCCCTCTCGATCGGGTCAGTAAGGAGTAGGCCCTGGGGAGCATATATCTTTTCATTCTGCTCTTGGATATACTTCGCGATTTTCTTCAGAACCTATGAAAATAGAATTGAAGATACAAAGGAATTAGAGCTTTCAATAAAATGTTATAAAAATAAATTTAAATAGTTTTTTTTTTTTTTTTTGTATGAAAAAAAGACAGTGTAGAAAAGACAGTTACCATTACATGTCAAGGGCTGTTCAAAAATACCTTGCAAACAAGTGGTCAGACCACCTAACCAGGGACATTGATAAAGGCCAGCCTCCATCCAAGATCATACAGAAAAGAAAAAAGTGATTTTGTTATATTCCAGTCTTAGATAGAGGCTGGCTTTTTCAGCATGCTCCCTTAGGGGTCCGACCCGTTGTTTGTATGGCAGGAAACAACATCATGCAACACTTCTCCCAACTCGTAAACGGCAACTGCTGTCAGCAAGCAGTACATTTCAATACTGCTGTTTTACTGTGGTCATGAATTCTCCAGTTTTATTAACTGCTGAAGAGATATAATTGCAACAACACCAGCATCACACCACACACCTCCCCATCAATAGGAAAATAGGATCTTGTTACTAAGGAAATATGTTACATGACTCACTTTACCCCCAATGTCAGAAGACATTATCACGAATCAAATGTATTTGTATCCACTTATAAACAATATGACTGCATCTGGTTTGGTTGTAATTTGTTTTATCCGTTAATCTTTCTCTCTAACCAAACAAACACTGGCAAATCTAGATCTGGAGCAGTGGTACATTGTATGGTTCGTTTTCTGGCTGCAACGTACAATTAATGTATAGTGTGTTAGGTCTACTCCTCTATACACCATTGGTTTTCTACTAATAATTCTATAAGATATTAGGAGTGTTCAGCGGGCTGTGACTTATTAGAATCCCAGGCCTTTTTTATGGAGCACAGATCTTTGTTACAGAACACGTTGGATAAATATTGGAACAACCACAGCATCTGTTGTTCTTACATAGAAAATACTTAAGATTTTTTTCACAACCCACACATTTTTTGAGTCAGTATTTACTGAAGCAAGGATATAAAATTTCAATCTTTCTAAAGAAAAACATGCCCAGCCTTCGTCATTTCATCAACAGGAAGAGAAAGTTTTGCTTACAACCCTAGGCAAGGAGAGAGTTAAATCGCCAATGCTGCCATCAGCAATACTGTTCTGACTATGTATGTGTATTGAAATATTACTTTGTGTATTTTAATATTATGCTGTACCCTATTGTAACAATGCAATATTTGTGGTTCCGGGACATACTTGAAAACAAGAGAAATCTCAATGTATCCTTGTTGGTAAAATAATAAATATTCTGGTGGAAGCCTCGGACATTTGTTTACTATGTACTCCTATCTTGCTGGGATGTGTCAGAGCGTCAACTTGTACAATATCTGCAGCAAGCGACAGGATATTATTTTAACCTATTTTAACCCTTTGGAGACCATTTATGTCACAATATAAAGATATCGGTCTGGTATCTGGTCTAAGGACTTGTAGCCAAAGTAGAAATATAATCAATGTATTTTTGCTCTGCATTAGCAATAGTCGTACTATGTACACTTGGGTGCTTCCCAAAAAAAAGTAGTACTTCACTTTCCATTGTGGCAGCTGGCGTTTAGCTTCAAAGCAGGTCATTATGAATTTGTATTTCTTAGCGGTCTATAGGGGGTGGACCAACCAAGTTAGGGGTTCGGCTTCGACTGAAACAACTGACCGTAACAGAACATGCTGATATTACCAACAGTGAGCCTGCTAAATGCCATTGAGGGCCATTTCTAACCAAAAGGATATATTTGGGCAGCCCTGTCACTCTCACTTTCACAACCTGGTTCAGGACTTCAGTAAGAGAAATGATGTATGATGCAAGAGCATTACATTGAAGGGTATGGATTGGTTGGAAAGTCAATGTAATCTAAAGAAAGGTGAACTAAATTATATTCTCAGATGTAAGAAGGAGAACACCTTCAGCGGAAATTGGTTTATTTTACTTCTTTAAAAACACACCTAAGATCTCATCCACTGACAGAATACATAACACAAAATGAAATGAATTATTCCAGGTGAAGATCTTAACAAGGCAACAGATGAACCAAAAGCATGGTAAAAATTAAATCCTACAAGAAAAAGAGAATCCACTTCAAAAACATGACACAGCCTGCAATAACTGACACAGAGCAATGCTACCACCTCGGTCCATACCAATTCATACCAGAGATTAGCATAGTGACTGGCTAAGAGTGCTCAACTGATGGTTTTAGCCAATCACAGCCTACTACTCCTGGTATGGCGTAAAGCGTAGCATAGCTCTTCCTCTGCCATTTCATCACTGGAGGTAAAGCTTGAGGCTGCTGGGTACAGAGAATCTTTACTAAACATAAAGTAAACTGTTTAGTAATGATACGGACACTAGAGGCTGACTTAGTGCTGCAATGTAAACATTGCAGTTTCTCTGGAGCTGCAATGTTTAACATTGCAGCACTAAGGACAATAGAGTTCATTGTACCGTGTACCTAGACGACTTCAGTGAGCTTCTGGCTGCCTACAATGTCCCTTTAAAGATTCCGCAATCACCAGGACACACAATGCATTTGAGGAGGTAAAATAAAATGGTTTCGGTTTCTTTCCCACTCTCTATGCAGAGTGACATGTGCAAAGGTAACATTTATAGCAGAGATCAACAGGGATCCAAGATGAAGGCACTCAGTAGCAAAATAGAGTAAAACAGGAGGTGTAGATTTTATTTTTTAGCCTTCCCAAATATTTGTTAAAGAAAAGGCATAAGTAAAGGGAATATAAAAACCTATAGAAAGCGACTGTTGCCCTGTAAGGAGCATGCGTAACTAACAGCGTTAATTGGGAGAGAAGGTAGGAAAGGTGAAGAAAGATAATTAAAATAGATTAGAATACGGTTGCAGAAAACAAAAAAAAAAACACAAAACCCTGTACAGACACTGTTAACGAATGTTGACATTTGTATATTCCTGTAAAAATGTAATATTTAGGATTACTGTTGATATGAGACAGAAGTGATGACGAGATAACCTACTCTGACAAAAGAATGAATAGTCTTGGAGACTTGTGATGGGAGAGTGTCTCTTGTTCATTGTGCGGGTAATGAGGGTATTAGAGGGAGGAGGAAATTGCAGGGAAATTCTAACCCTAACTATTTTTTTTAGCAGAAAAATGAGTGATTCAGATAAGCTGCCCACTGCCAGCCATTCAGGCACCACTGGGCACTAGGAGCAGAAAGGAATATTGTTGGTTTACATAAAACAATTAACTCATTTATCACCAGCTAGTTTACATCCAGTATGGGATGGTCTCCTTTGCAAGCAATGCTCTGAAGCACAGTTGTCCGGGTCTGCAGTATGGCATGTAGCTTAAGAAGTTGACAGAAGCCTACTGAAAGTTAGACCTCATCTGGAGGGTCTCAGTTGGATAGCACTTCAAATAAAATTCTCTGCACAGTCAGCTGCTGGCACTAATGATTAAAAAGGTAATCTATGGGGGCAGTATACTTCTGCTATAAACTACTGCTTGGTCATGTTTTATTAATCTCTTTCCAGTTCAAGAATGTAACTTCTACTTGACAGATTTCCATCCAATACACTGCTACATTAACACTTTTTTGAAGAATGTTTTAACCCCATGATGCCAAAATGTGAAAGGCATTTCTATAGAATGCTACAGAATTTCTAAATCCTTGTTCAATCTCTGACACAAATTAGCTGCATAAAAATGGTGCACCTTTTTAAAGCAGAAGCTAAGGGAGGCCTTAACATACACAGTGCAGGAACACTGTAGCATTAGGTATACATATATGTGTCCTCCTAAGGCTACAGTCCTGATGTTACTAGATAGTTTAAGCCCCAATCTGTACACAACAAAATGAAACCCTCCCCCTCCCCCCACAAATTACTCACCTTTTCTCCAGCGCAGGGCCTCCACCAGTGGTGCCACAACCACCCCCTCAGGTTGCGTTATTCTGGTGGCATGCCAATCCAATGCTCCTCATAGAAGAGGATCGGGGGAACATAGTCTCATGCACTGCCCTCACAGCAACAGGTCTACAATTCCTCCATAGAGAATCATACATTTTTTTTTAGAACTATTTTTATACTTGGCTATGGGGAGAGTGGTGTCGTGTAGAAGTAGCGATTCAGGTTTAAATGGGTGGCCTTTCCCAATTATGGCAGTGAAGGCCCCATGAATATAGTCTTCCAGAGTAGAACAGTAGACAGTCCTACTTCAAATGAAGAGTTACACACTAGCATAAATCAGGAATTGAGGTAAAAAGAAGGTGTAGTAACCAAGGGGAATGCTACCACCATGTTGGGTATATAAAGTTTGTTTCATGCAGTTTGGAATTAAGCAAACACTGATGAGCAGGGCACCAAAATGTCCTTCCTCATCTGTGTTAATTTAGCCTAGATTTTCGTATAACATAAGATAGGAAAGCGGATCAAACTCCAGCAGCAATATTTAAGAGTCACAAGGAACATCATGCAAAGAACACCCTTTCCTGGAAGAATACTTTGATACTGTAATTGTGAACATTGTATGAAATCAAAATATGATACAGTGTTCTTTTAACACATATCTTGCAGTTTCTGGTCACATTTTCCTTTATTCATCACAGCAGCAAAATTATAAATCTCTGTATAGATTTTAGTTGGTTAAATGACAAAGAAAAAATAAAATTGGAATAATGATAATTCTATTTTTATTCTAGTTACTGCATGCCTTCCACCTGTTCAGAAAATGGCTTGCATTCACATTCACAAGGCAGCACACTATGTAACTATACAGTCTGACAGTGTATGGGTTAACCAACAGTACTAAGCAGAGCCGAGCCGTGGAGGTTATAAATAAATAAAAGACCAATTTATTAACAGTAGGTTTGTGTGTCTGGATCACATACCTCTCACAGAGGTGAATTCATCCAAAGCGTTTGCTCTTTTCGACCACTTAGGGAGAGCTGTCCAACAGCCCAATATTTACAGTTGGTTTCAGGAGGGGATGAGGACACAAGCTGTCTGCGTGTAACCCCTTTGGTGCTAGGTAGGGATGGGTATGTGGGTGGGAATTCAGGTTTTAATGAAAAATGTGGCAGGGAGAGGGTTTTTATGCTGGCTAGTCCTTCCTGAATAAATAAATCTAAAATCTGTCTGTACATTGCAAAGCATTTCATCTGAAAGCTGCTGAAAGGCCTCAATTCATTCTCCTTAAAAAACTTCATCTAAACACAGCTGAACGGGAATAAAAAAGGTCCGTTTAATATCTGTACTCTGCTTTCTTTTAAAAGCCCCAAAAGGAACCATTTGAATGCCCTTAACATAGGGCAGGGCAACTGTGGCTCTTTGAACCAAACCACTGTATAAATGAGTCCTAGAAATGGTATTAGGAACATTTTGAAAGACAATCTTAAAGGAACTCTATAGCATTCGGAATACATGTATTCCTAACAATAGTGTTTCTACTAACTATTTAGGAGTCGTGCCCCCTCACCCCAAGAATGAAAAGATAAGCTTACTTTCAGCTACATTTTATTCCTTTCCGTGCTGGTCTCTGTGCTGCAGGTCCCACCTCATTAACTGAGATCAGCAATCTTTATGATCTCAGCCGAACCAATGCATTGAAAGGCTAGTTCGCATGTGCAGCAAATTGCCAAGGTGTGCCAATCAGCATCTCCTCATAAAGATGCATTAAATCAATGCATTGCTATAGGGAGCATTGAGCATTGCCATACAGAGAGCAAAGACACTAAACATAGATAATGCAAAAATTGCAGGACTCATGCAGGAACTCCTACTAGTGGCTATCCAAGTACCTTTTTCAAGCCATTTTTCATAATGAATGGGGAGCTACTGATTGCTCTTAACCAATCAGTGAAGACCCTTCCCAGCAGCTCTCCCAGACTTCCATTCTGAAGATTTTGAAAAAGCAGATGTGAAGGGTGCAGAGACAAACAGTGCTGGAAAGGAGATCATGAGGTTAAACCATTCATGAATGAATTTAACCTCTAAAAAGTAAGGCAACGCAATGCACCTTCTAGCACCATAACAACTTTATTTCAATTAAGTTATTATGGTGCCCAGAGTGTTCATTTAAATAAAAATATGTATCAATGTTGAAAAAAGTTTACTTTAGCATATCTGGGAAACGTGATCATCAGTTATTGTCCCTCTAAACTTAAACTTGTTTTAGATCACATATCTTCATTGTACAACACTGTAAAATAATTTTGTAAATAACTATAAATTGCCCTAAAAGGCACCTTTTTAGTTATGTGACATTTTGGCCACCCTGTTCCCTAAAATAACACCTTGGGTGGTTTTTAAGGAAATTAGTCATCTTCAGTTAGACAGGTTTTGGCAAGAACCAAGGGCTACCCCTATACATAATTTGTGGAACACATTCTTTCCCTTTTAAATAGTTAGCTTGGCAACACTAGTCCGTTTCTGTCTTTATAACATATTATCCTTTACTCATATTAGCCAGTACTGCAGAATCTGAAAATAATAAACAGGTTATTTATCAAGGATGCTTGTCTCACCTTCTCGTAGTGTGTCTCCATGCACAGAAATACTGTATATGCAGTAAGGCAGGCGAGACAGCCTTCCAGGTAAGACGGACTTCCAAGCTTCTCAGCCTCAGCATACAGATTATTCAAGGTCCGTACAGTCTCCTCAAATTGCTGCCTGTCAACCTGAGATAGAAGAGAGGGGGCAATTATTAATACAGTCTTCATCCTATGAAATTCCTCTGATTCTTAGCTTTTCAAATGGTTTGGTGTTTCTGAATAAATTACAGAGCTCCACAAAAATAGAGTTCACAGTAATGTGTGGTGTATAACGTACTCACAGGATGCAACAGTACTAAACACAGGGTTACTAACTAAAGTGGATTTTATATTTAAGTTTAAAATGGCTGATTTGGAAAAATTCTACAAGTCAAATGTGTTTTCATGTAGAAATAAAAATATGCAGGTATTAAGTGGGTGCTTAGTGCTAATGTAGAATACTCTAACGTCTAGGTGGGGTCCCCTTAACCTTCACCAATAGTATAAAACACAAATATAAATAAGACGAAATATCTTACATGCACATACAAGAACAATTCTTTCTATTAGATAAAACTCCTATAATAAAACATAAAAGACAAATAATGGTGCAATATCGTTTGAACTTGTGGGAAAAGTGTCAATATTTCCAATGAATTTACACTCACAAGTAGGGAGCCAATAAGTATTAGGCTCAAATATTCAGCTTTGTGGGATATAGGGGGTCCCACTCCCTCCTCTGTATGTAGAGGATCCTCCTTTGATTGCAGTCACAGGCATGCAGTAAAGGTAACAAAAGTGCTTTATTCAATAAAGTGCACAATATATTATGAATAAAATAAATTAAAAACCTTACAGTCTGTACTGGCAGTCCTTACAATGTAGCAAAACGCATTTCGCCTCTCCAAGAGGCTTCCTCAGTTGCTGCCTTTCTGTCCTATGAGTAGTGTTCCTTTTGAATCTGTTTCAGCTTTGTTTTTTCCCTCCTTTCTCTGTTACTTCCGGGTATCGTTTCTCTGTGACGCACTTCTGGTTCCGGGTTTTGCGTTCCATTGGAACGCATGAAAAAAAAAAAAAAAAAACGCATGTGGAACACAAGGATGAGTTCCTCTCTAAGCTGGAACGCATCCTTGTGTTCCACATATCTCCCTCCGATTTGTAGGTTGTCCTTATTCCTGTGGAGCTCATACATGCGTTCCAAATATCTTGTACATGTAATCCATAATGTCTCTCAATGCAATAAAGAGAAGGGAAAATACTTCAATAGTGTGAAGCTAAGAATATTAAAATTGTCAATTAAAAATAGATTCATGCACATTATGGTGTGAATAGGTGACAGTTTAGTGATTCCTATTATAAAGATAGATGTGCAGACTGTGCAAGAAAATAAAATATATATAATCTTATAGAATATGCCTGCTATTTTACAAACATGTATGCATGTATGCGCTCCACAGGAATAAGGACAACCTACAAATCGTAGGGAGATGATATGTGGAACGCAAGGATGCGTTCCAGCTTAGAGAGTAACAAGTGGACTTCTGGAACTGATGTCCTTGGCTGGGTCATAGTGATTAGGACGTCGTCCGCAAAGAGGCTAAGCTTGTGTTCTTCGCCTCCTATATTAATAGCATGTACGTTGGGTGTGGATCCGATCAGTTCCGCTAACAGTTAGAGTGCTAATATATACAAAATCGGAGACAGAGGGAAACCTTGCCTCGTACCGTTTGTCACCTTAAATCTGGCAGATGTGTAACCACCCGTAGAGACTACCGCTGTTGGTTCGTTGTATAGGGCCATTATTTAGGATAAAAAAAAATTGTGGGATTCCAAACCTTCCCAGGGCCGAGACCAAGAACCCCCAGCCCAGCCGGTCAAACGCTTTTTCCGCGTCTAGCGAGAACAGTAGGCCCTCGGTCCCGGCTCGTCTCATATGGCTCAACAGGTCCACCACCTTCCATGAATTATCTGCCCCTTGGCGCCCAGACACAAACCCCACTTGATCTCCCTTTATTAGGGTTGGTATGACTGAGGATAATCTAGTAGCTAGCCATTTGGCATAGATCTTTGCGTCCATGTTAAGCAGCGATATGGGTGTAAAAGTTTTGCATTCATTGGGTTGCTTCCCCGGCTTGGGTAATGTAATGATATTGGCTAGTAACAAGTCTGTCGGTAGGCCTTTTTCTTGGTTAGTGGAATTAAATAGCTTTGTCATGTATGGTTCTAAGAGGTCACCAAAAACCTTGTAATATTTGCATGTTAGACCATCTGGTCCCGGTGCTTTGTGTGGGGGTAACCCAGCTATAATTTTAAGGATTTTGTCAGTCGATATATGTGCATTTAAAGATGCTATTTGGTTGGCATTCAATTTGGGGAGGGACACCTTGTCTAGGAAGTTCTGGATCTGATCCCCCGTTGGTCGTATTTTGGGTTGGTCTGTCTCTATGTTATAGAGAGCTTTATAAAATGTTGCAAATGCTTTGCTAATGTCCTGGGGTTTGTGTACCATTTTTGTGTTGTTTATTCTTATGGATGAGATACAGTGTTTTGTTTGTCTATGTTTGAGTAAATTGGCCAGCACTTTGCCTACCCTGTTTCCCTGGTTGTAGAACCTGGCTTTTAGTTTCTGTATATGATAGTTTGTTTTCAGCAAATTGGCTTCGTCAATCTGGGATTTTAGTGTCTTAATCTGTGATGCCAATTCACTGGATGCTTCGCGTTTATTTTGTCTTGTCAATATTTCTAGTTTTTGGAGCCATTCTGTCATTTGAGATTCCCGTTCCCATTTTAGGTAAGACGCCCTCTTTATAAAAATGCCCCTAATCACCGCCTTATTGGCCAGCCATAGAGTTTCCAGGGACGTCTCCCCATTGTTGTTCCTAGCGAAATATTCTTTCAGTTCTACCCGAACGCTTTTGATAAAGTCTAGATCATGGAGTAGTGATTCGTTGAGCCTCCAGAACCCCTTCCCTGTGTGTGTGTGGGCGTCTTTAATGTATAAAAAGACTGGTGCATGATCAGACCAAGTCATCTGTCCTATCACACAATTCTCTATTTGGATCAGGTCTGTGGGTGATGTGTACAAGAGGTCGAGTAAGAGTTATGGACCACTGAGTGGAACGTATAATCTTTTTCATGGTCGTGCAGGGTGCGCCACACATCGAGCAGGTTATGGAAATGAAGACGGGTTCTTAAAGACTTGCAGGAACCCTGCAACGCCTTTAATCTTATGTTTGTAAGCTTGGCTGATGAGTCCAAGGCTGGTTCTGCTATAAAGTTGAAATCCCCACACAACACCAGGGTACCCTGTTTGATCTTATCTATCTTATTACACAGCATTTCTAAGAACTGGGCTTGGTTTGTATTTGGGAAGTAGGCATTCGTTATAGTGTATTTTATCTCGTTCACAATACAAACTATGATCAAATAACTGTCCATGCGCAATAGGGTGAATGCCATGTTGTCAGTGAGCATTCACCCTATTTTGTGAGCAGTGGAGTGCTGTATGACTACTGTATGACTGAGGGTACAGGGATTTTTGCGGTTGTTTGTTAAAGTGTGTCTCTTGTAGGCACACTATGTCGCTATGCCATTTGGACAGATCTTTGTACAGGAGAGTACGCTTGTGTTGGGTGTTTAACCCCTTAACATTGTACGTGACTATTTTCATAAATGTAGTCTTGGCTGTTGGATTGATCGGGGGCCTGGCATGACTTTACTAGCTTTATCCTGGGCACCCATGGTAGAGATTTGCAAGAGTTCTGGGGGGTGGAGAAGGATAGGGGAATGAAACAGCATAACATTTTATAACTTACATACAATAAAACTCAATGGCCCAAGAATTAACCCCTAGGGGTCTGGAGTTGCCTTCCTGAGGGCCAAGACAACTACCAGGGGTCGTGGTAATGGTAGCCTCTACCAGTGTGCGAATATTCCCACTGGTGTCGGCTATACTCTTAAACTGCAAGTTTAAGTCTCAACTACTTCCCATCTTGGTGATTGTATTCCCTTTCTACGGCGTCTATCCATCTTAATATGTTGCGCTTTTTTTTGTGTGTATTTAATTAAAACCTTATGGTAAGTAATATGCGAGCTTTCTGGTTGAGATACCAGGGCTCCCTCCGGCGGGAAATGGTACCACAATATGTATGCCCCCTCCAGGGCCCGGCGTTTTTTAATTAGCTTCTCACACAACCCCCCAGGGGGGCCACTGCACCCAGCAATTTCAAACAAACAGTTTACATTTACATTACCCATATGAGAACATCATGCCCTCTCTGTTATAAGATGTACAAAGTCATGGTAATTTCGGTGCAATTCATGGTGCTTTTTGCCACTCTGGATTTACCCACCTAGGGCCGGGCGCAGGTAGGTGCTTCGGATCCTGGATAGGGTTGTCCCAGTGTCTCAGTAATTTGCGTCCCTACTCCACCGTCCTGATCATGTGGAGAGTCCCATTTTTTAGCACCTGGATCTTGGTGGGGAATCCCCAACAGTAAGGCACGTTTTGAGCACGTAGAGAAGTCGTGATAAGCGCCAGGTTCCGGCGTTGAAGTAGTGTGGCTGGAGAGAGATCTGCGTAGATTTGCAGCGATTTGTATTCTGGGGTCGGTTTTTGCGGCTGGCTTTCATAATTTGATCTTTGACATGAAAATAATGGATCCTCATTAACACATCATGTGGTGATGAAATCGGTATGTGTTTCGGCCTCCCGACTCTGTGTATGCGGTCTAAGACCAGAAGGTCTGGGTCCACTTCCAGTATGAGCTTGGCAAAGAAGGTTGTTATGTATTGGAGCAATTGTTTGCCATCTATATCTTCCGAAATGCCCCTTATTCGCACATTATTCCTCCTGGAACGATCTTGCAGATCAGTTAGCTTATCTTCATGGGCATGTAGTTTGTGCTCCATCTCCTGCATGGCATCCGCCATGCTATTATGGGCCTCTGCATGTTCCGCCATTTTGTTTTCTATATGCAATGTGCGCTCACCCAACTCCGTCACATCTTTGTTTAGGTTGGCTATTACCTCTTTAAATTGGTGCATCAGAGAGGTATTCAATGTTTCCAGCAGAGATTTCATTCTGGACTCCATTATTGGCCCCTCACTCCCCGCCTGAGCTTCGTTCTCTGTGTCAGACGTCTGCGCCTCCGCTCCTTCTTCGGCGCCATCTTGTTCCCTTTCCGGCGTTTTTTGTGCGAAAAATGTCCCAGTCTCTCAGTAATTTGTCCAGTTTTGGTTTGTTTTTTGCCGCCATCGGGTGGAGCAGCTTGTCAGTGCTTGATGGGAGTTGTTTGGTTGTCTGTTTCTGCAGTTTAGTCGCTGTTATTTGCCGCTTTTCGCCGATCGGGTAGGAGCACAACGATTATGCGACCATTCCCATTGGCTGTCCTACTATTTTTTTTTTTTTTAAACTCACAAACGTAAGCGTTGGAGTAAATGTAAAAGTTCATTGTATTTGTACCTGATTTGGAGGTATAAATCATTTGGGGAGATCTAAAAAGGTCTGCTCTGATCTCCGCCCTCCCATTAGCAACATAAAAAAAAAAAAAAAAACACAACACACACATCTCTTAAAGGGACGCTATGGTCACCAGGACAACTTAATGAAGTTGTTCTGGTGAGTATAGTAAGTCCTTGCAGGCTTTATGCTGTAAAACCTGCCTTTTCAAGAAAATGCATTGTCTACATTGCTTACTAGGCACACATCCAGTGGCAGTCACTCAGACGGCAACTGGAGGTGCTCTGCATGGAGATGTTGAAGTTTCCCCATAGATATGCACTGATTCAATGCATCTCTATGAGGAGATGCTGATTGCCAGCAGGGTGTTTGGCCCCTCAGAATTGACAATTGCTTCCTATGGGGAAGCATTAAATTGGCTGAGATTAATTCTGATGTCAACCAAGGAGGCTGATTGGGCGCGGTGCAAGTGCGGCACTGGAATAAAGTTGCATAAACTACTATATTTAAGGGGGTAAGGTGTGGTGGGCTGGGGACCTAAATAGTGTTTTAACCTTTCTATTCCTGACCCTGTAGTGTTCATTTAATTTGATAACAGAAAAATAAACAATGTACATGGCAGCGCTCTTTAACGTATATGTATGCTTTCAATAATGCTGCCTTTTGTCGGCCGGCTGGCCTATGAGCATTCTTTTGGAGGTTGAAACATACACTTTAATTTGATTGATAAAATGAAACATTTAAAAATCAAACCAAATTCATTTTTTTTATACGTTTTTAAATAGAATTTTTAATCAAATGTTATGTTTTATCAATCAAATTAAAGTGTATGTTTCAACCTCAAAAGAAACCTATTTGGATAGGTAATTTTGTTCTAATTTCTCTAAATTTATATTATATAGCACCAACATATTCCTCAACACTTTCAATTATAGAATGGGGATATTTTACAATTTGTAACTGACATACAAAATAAGACCAGAGCTGAAGAAGGCCCTGCTAAAACAAGTGTACAATATATGAGATATACGTAGATATGTGCACTTACACATACATATTACATACCAAAACCTCATTATAACCTATTTATTTAATGAATAAATAAATAAAAATATGTATATGGAATGGAACACTTGTTTTAGTTTCTCACAAAGGATAGGTGAGGAGACTAGTGGAATTTTTTTGCCATCCCTGCATGTATTCACTAGTATGTTAAATGTGGGAAAGACAGGGTTCCTCTCCCTGAATCAAGTGTGCAGACTGTGCACCAATTATCTGCAAGAACATACACCATAAAGGAGGCGACACAATCCATCTCTACCACCAAAAGGAAAGACTTTTATTCAGCCTAAGATGAGCCAAGGAAATCAAATCTGCTTTAGGTTTTCTGCAGAAAAAAAATATTAGTTTTGTACATGGGCTATTGAGATGCCCTGAGGCTACATGTAGAGAGCAGCCTGGAATGTTTAGAAACAACACAGGAGAATGGATGAGACAGGCAAGAATTGCACAGCTTAACAAAAAGAGAACACACTTATTCACAATGGCATATTCCTATATAAAACCATGGGCTTGATCAGCGCAATTTCCCATAACCGCTCCAGACGAATTCATCACACTACCAAAGTTTTCACAGTGACAAGTTTGATCTGTAGTGTAATCAAACACCAAAACTGGAAACTTTGAAAGAATACAGCCTTTCAAATTCTGGAATTTCATTGAAATTACAATTTAATTTGAAGATAAAATACATACAATTTTATTCAAGAAGCTTTCTCCTCTGCTCAACAGATGTCAGACACCTTTTTTTGCAAATGTTGAAAATGCATGGTGAATCATGCAAAGACTCCAATTTTGAAAACATGCAAATGATTGAGAACACCAATGACACGGTCCTTGACAGATGAAGTCACGACAAGTTGATGATGAAAATGGCCATAGAAGCTCATGGAAGTATATCAGACATCCCCGTGTATTATGAATTGAGCTGCAAACTCCTTCGCAGTGATATGTGATCTCATGCAAGTTTGCATAATTATTAATACCCTCATTAGAACATTTTTATTGTAAGTCACTGCGGAATAAGCTGGAGCTATATAAATACTAATAATAATAATAAATAATAATAATAATAATATTAGAGTTAGCTGGGATTTTAAAGCCAATCCCTCTAGAATGTAAGCTCATTGAGCAGGGCTCTCCACCTCTCTGTTCCTGTACGTCCAATTTTCTGGTTACAATTACACGTCTGTTAGTCCACCCATTGTACAGCGCTACGGAATCTGATGGCGCTATATAAATAATAATTAGAACATTTTTATTGTAAAATGCTGCAGAATAAGCTGGCGCTATATAAATACCAATAATTATTATTATTATTATTAGAAGAGTTAGCTGGGATTTCCAAGCAAATGCCTTGTTTGACAGGAAGCCAATTCAGATAATGCAGAAAATCACCGGTACCCAAAACAATCCTTCCGCATCAGTGTGGCGGCTGGGAGAAAGACAGAGGAGGCAGTGTGGAAGGGCACACAAAGGCGCGAATTTGCAGTTAAAAGTTTTAAAACTGGTTTTAGCCTTAGCCCAGCAACTCCAGCTCCCATAACAACTTCATGCAGATTACGTTGTGATGGAAGCTGAAGTCTGCCATGGTGCTCCTTTCAAAACATCCCCAATTCAACTTTTTTGATCAAAATTCTGACACACAGTGTCAATTTATCTCACACTTCTGAAAGAGAGGCACTGAATAAAATAATGAATATATATTGAATTATATTTTATATATTGTGTTTTTAAAAACACCACGTAAGTGATTCGCTTTACGATACTACCTCCCTTCTTACAACAACCACTCGCTCTACAAAATTTATCTTTAGGTTGGTCTGGTTGTACCCTAAGTGGCCATAAGTAGTTTTCGGCTTCTTGTGTCATTATATAGCTGTCCTGCGAGGCCAACTCCCATCCTCAACAACGGAGGTATTCGCCACTTGGGCCAAATCATAGTTACTGCCTCGCATCTCCGCCCTCTTGGCAAAGCAGTTACGGCCTCACCTGTCATGGCCAACTTATTTTGAATCTCTTTAATCCTCACCGAGAGGCCAACACCCCGCCAAAATGCTCGGTGGCAAACATAGCCAATGGGCCAAATCAGAGGTAGAGCCTCTCATTGCCACTTGGCAACTAGTTAGGTTCCCAAGTTACCAATTTAGCTTAATTGTTTCACCACTTGGCATAACATAGGTCAGCCAGTATCTTGGTGTTATTAAGTATCTCCCACTAACCAATTTTCTCTTTCCGGTATGTTTATAAATGCTGATAAAATGTAAAGTATTGGTGGTGTTATGTAGACACGTATTAAACTTAACTTTTTGCCCTCTTTTTACAGGTCTACCCGAATGTCGGTTTCGGCACACCACAACTCAGCTTATTGTCCCTGACCACAGATAGATAGATAGATAGATAGATGGATAGAGATATATATATTTTTTATTACATACCAAGAGAATTGTGGTGGGGAAAAAAAATTTGGATGAAAACACCTTCCACCTGAAGTAAGTGGATAGTTATTACATTGCTAACAGCAGACATACTCCAAGGAATCCAGGAATAAACTGGAATTAGGAGTCAAAAATGAGCCCATTTGCATACGCCTACCCAGAATCCCTTGCCGTAGTGAGAGTACTGTTAAAGTAAGATTTCTGTGGGAAAAGCAGTCTTATGACATTGCAAAACACAAATACACACACCAGTCAAGCAATAAAACTTGCTTTTCCCACAGAAATATCACTACTGCAAGGGACTCTGGGTAGGATATGCAAATGAACTCAACTAAGAACCACATTTTTGCCTCATGATTTCACTTTATACATGAATTCCTTGGATTATGTGTCTCATGTATACAACTATTTAAAATATATATATATATATATATATATATATATATATATATATATATATATATATATATATATATATATATATATATATATATACACACACACATATACATATACATACATACACACATACATATATACACACACACACACACACACACATATACACTTGATTCAAACACAGCCCGGGCCAATCAGCATCTCCTCATAGAGATTAATTGAATCAATGAATCTCTATGAGGAAAGGTCAGTGCATTTTAGGCATGACCCATGAAGGATCTCTAACAGCCATCTAAGGAGTGGCCAGTGAAGTTATCACTAGGCTGTAATGTAAACTCTGCATTTTCTCTGAAAAGACAGTGTTTACAGCAAAAAGCCTGAAGGTAATGATTCTACTCACCAGAACACATTCAATAAGCTGTAATTGTTCTGGTGACTATAGTGTCCCTTTAAACTAATTTTTTGTTGTTGTTTTGTTTGTACATTTGATGTATGTATCTCCATATGCAATTTGACTTATATGTATTCAATATAAAAGTATTGCATATATTGATGTAAAATATAAAACCTTCATAAAATAAAAAAAAATTAAAATATTTGAAAAGAAACCCTTTACTGTGAGAGTAAGGGCAGGTAATGGTGCGCAGCCATCTTGTTCAGTTTTCTTCTAAGTCACCGCTGTACAGCATTGAAGTCTATGGAGAATCCCGCAGTGACAGCCAATTCCCTGCAGCGTCACTAATGATGGCCGTCGGAATTGACACTTAGACTCTGCCCTGGGTCTAAGAAAGTCAGACGGAGGAGAAACACAGGAAAAAAAAAAAAAAATAGCCCCAAATTTGTCTCTGTATATCTCTTGACTGGGTTGGAATTTCTGTGAAATTCCAACACAGTGAAAATGAGTATTACAGTTTATATCGAAATACTAATTTTTTCAGGTGGGACCTAAAAAAAAAAAAAAGTCACCAAGCCCACTTCATTGAGATGAGTCTGGGTACAGTCACCATGTCATTTAATCCTGCAAAAAAAAAAAAAAAAGGCACTGCAGTCTTGGTTTGCTGGAGAATACGTATGTAATCCCCCCTGCCTTTTTTTTTTTTTTTTTAAATAACATTTTTTTTTATTGCAGTTGGGGGGGCCCTGAGAACAAACTTTAGACTAGGGCACTATAGCGTTGGGAAAACAGGTTTGTATTCCTAGCACTATAGTGTTTCTTTAATTAAAGGAAAAACAAGATGAATAAATACTGATCCGTTAGTGACTTTATATTGTCCATCGTTAGCCCAGATTTTAATCTATTTTCAATGTACAAAAAGTGTAGTCCCCAATTATCCCCCAAGATAACATGACAAAACTAAAGCATTACTTTAATGAAGTATGAACAAAAAGCTTTGCTTGGTTTCCATGGGCCCCAAAATTCACCCTGTTTCAAATTCCCAATCATTAATGTCTCTGTAAATATTTTAATGCATTATCTTTAGAACATTGAAAAAAATAAATTAATAAACAAAATGAAGGAATGGCTCAACTCCACTCTAGAAGGTCTCTTCAATACAGCAATGATACAATTCATCTTTTTACATGTGTCGAATTCCATCCAAATTACAGTTTCAAGATGCTAGAGTGGTCCACAACTGCTGAGATTTAGTTTTTTGTATACACTAATATTTCAAATATAAGCTTGTCTGTTTAGAACATGGTAAAATCTACGATATAACCACGTGTTCAGTAAATTCTATTTACGTGAATGAGGAGTAAACTGATGCCCACCACTTTGTGTATGAGGGTAATGCTATGTTGCAGATAGGCCATGCCATTGTATGCTCCATTTACTCAAAAAAAAAAAAAAAGGAATCGAGATTTGAAAAACACAAACATGTAAAGTAAATACAGAAAAACATATGAAAATAGTTTTTCCTCCTCTTGTATTACTTTACATAACAGAGTATCACTTTCCCTCAAATGGACATAGTACTATGGCAGCATTTTATTGCATCTTTATTGCTGCAAACGTCAGCGGAGCAATATCTGATATTTTCTAATCAGTTTTGATAATTAACTAAAGGTTTATTCTAAGGTATGTATTCAATATTCCATTCAAAGTTTTTTATGAACAGTCATAATTTTAAATACTATAAGCCAGGAGTTGACAAGTTTCATAACATTTTCAACATTGTTCATCACTGAAAACCAGGGAGCATGATCATCAGTTAAAAGGACCACTCTAGGCACCCAGACCACTTCAGCTTAATGAAGTGGTCTGGGTGCCAGGTCCAGCTAGGATTAACCCATTATTTTATAAACATAGCAGTTTCAGAGAAACTGCTATGTTTACAAATGGGTATACCTTCCTCCAAAGCCTCTAGTGGCTGTCTCATTGACAGCCGCTAGAGGCGCTTGCGTGCTTCTCACTGTGAAAATCACAGTGAGAGCACGCAAGCGTCCATAGGAAAGCATTGTAAATGCTTTCCTATGCGACCGGCTGAATGCGCGTGCAGCTCTTGCCACGCGTGCGCATTCAGCCGAATGGGAGGAGAAGAGGAGGATCGGAGGAGGAGAGCTCCCCGCCCAGCGCTGGAGAAAGGTAAGTTTTAACCCCTTTCCTCTCCCCAGAGCCCGACGGGAGGGGGTGCCCTCAGGGCACTATAGTGCCAGGAAAACGAGTATGTTTTCCTGGCACTATAGTGGTCCTTTCAAATCTTTACATAAGGTACTCATCATAAACATGTGTTTTCTTAGACACAACAGATGCCTGCTGGCAGAATCAGTATGTAAATAGCAATGTATGAAAAGCAGTTATTTAAAGGGATGCTGTATTCCTTGAATAATAGCTCACTCTGCCTCCCCCACCCCCTGACGCAGTGAATAAAAAGGTTAATAAAATAAGTGATCCTGAGTGCCCGGACTACATTTATTGTTTTACCATGGAAAACTGCAACTGACATTCAATGCCAAATCCCCAGACTGAGATAGAAAAAACTCTGGAAATCCAAACATGGATTTAATTCTCTGAATACAGTGAAAATATCAGTTACAGTGAAGGGATCACAAAATTATGCTGCATTCACAAAGAAGTAAATATAGAAGAATTTACACATATACTTTTGTGGAGTTCAAAGCATTTTAGGCATCTTTTTCTCAAACATACCCGGGTCTCCAGCTCAGTGGGAAACTTTGTCTGGAACTGACACAGAGTGCCATTGGTGTAGTCTCTCTGTATGAAGACTTTTCCGGCCACAGCCGCCTGAGGTCTCATAGCCATGAGTGGCGCAACCTGCGGGCAAGAATACAAATCCAAAAATGTAAAATACTCGCACTATCCATTATTTTATTATTATTATTTATTTTTTACACAGCTTATGGATAATTTGGTGAACATGCTTGACTTGGGCGCATGTGCGGGCAAACCTTCGGCACTCCAACTGTTGTGGACTATACAATCCATGAATTTAAGTCAGTGTGTGCCGAATACCATACTCCAATAGATCTCTAATATAATTTTTTCCAAGTATGGACAAGCTTCCATACTGCTTCTAAATGTAGCTAAAACAATTGCTTCAGTGTGACAATTGCTGCAGATGTGCAGTAGGGGCCTCAGTGCATCTTGATGAAGAAGCATCTGATTGGCCATGATTGTCCATCCGCATAATCTCAACAGAGAAAAGAGTAGTAGCCACAGAGAGATTGGGATGCCACTAGAGGAAAGGGGAGTATGTATATGTGTTTTTGTTTTTTAAAGTGGCCCTGTTCAAGTGTCATCAAGTTGAGGCTTTACCACAAGACAAAAAAAGTGTCCATACTTTGACTAATGATATATTTTGCCTATGTTGGAATTTTGTATCTTTATGAAACACCCAAAAAAAAAAGTTTTAAAAAAATAAATAAAAAAATTGGGAGATAAAGCCACTTTAACTTATAGAGGAGGATCTATGAATACAAAACTTTATAAACACCTATATGTAATTATAATGTTAGTGTTACTTTATAATTAGTCCCAGCATTAAAACAGGTATTCCTATCAGGTTATTAATAAAACAACAACTCCATGCACCATAACAACTACAGCACACTATAGTAGTTATGGTGCAGGAGTTTCCTGTTGCTCTCCCATTTTAGAACAGTTTAACAACTTACCTTAGTCATGTGGCTTAAGATGTGGGTGCCCAGTGAGACCCAGGTAAGTTGCCAACACATTTTAACACAGAGGGTACCATGTTGTATTGTGTGTTGTCTGTTCTCAAAACGGTTTGTTTTTTCTGTGAGTATGTATATTCATGTATGGAATAAATGGCCTGGGATTTTGGTTTATATTGACTCTTTGTCTAATTATGATTTCTTACGGTTCTACTATAATAAGGGGCGTATTCTGATTTTATTTGCACTCTGTTTATGTGATCTATATATATGTACCCTGTGATTTTACTTTACGAATATCTAATAAAGTTTATATTTTTATCTATAGGTGCGGTCATTAGCATAATATGTGTTGTTGCTCTTTGAACAAGCGGTTATACATAGTTGAGCACCTGGTCTATATAAATCTTGGTTGTTTACTTTATCTATGTGCCCTCCTATTAATGGTACTCTTCCGGCACCATAACCAACACACTGTGCTGCAGTGGTTATGGTGCTTATTATTTTAAATACCAATATGTCAATATGGCTGAAAGTATTAGTAACGAGTCAAGTACCTGGGACACTGCTGAATAAGGTATTAAAAAAATAAAAATAAAAAGATGGTGTAACTCGGTCCAGAAATGGTTGTCAATCACTGACTTTCAGTAAACAACATAATACAACTCAGCCTTGGGCTACAACCAGATAGTGTAACAAATACACTCATAATAGCTGGATTCCCATGAATTGCTGTCAGAGAAACACACAGAGAGAGATAGACAGACAGAGAGACACACAGAGAGAGAGATAGACAGACATACAGAGAGATAGATAGACAGCATTAAATCCTCATACACAATAATACATGCAGTCAGAATACTGTAAGACCAATACTTACATTAAACTATTGCCCGATCTGGTAATAATCGCCGATTATTAGTAATAATACCGGAACGCCCGAACTCACTCCACTTCCGTCAGCTGGATCTGGTTTACGACCGTCGTAAACTAGCAGTGGGCCGGGAGATGATCACGTGACTGCAGAACACGTGACCCTTCAAGCATGCCTACTGTGTGATGTGTGCCAGTGCTAGTGTCACTAGTGACAGAAGGACACATCCCATGTGGGTAATGAGTGTATGTAGTGTGAGCCTGCGATTAGTTGGATCTTTTTTATGAAGTCATGTGGTTTTCACATAATGTGGTGGACAGCCTTTACGCTGGTCTGCGTCCCTTTAGTTAAAAATAAATAAAATTAAGTGTCAAAGTAACAGCACTAACTTTCTCACCGCAGATATCAGGGCGAATCTAGAAAGTACCCTAAAGATTTTATAAATGAATGTATAGTGAGAGTGCATTATTGTATATAGATTAATTTATTTAAAGGGACACTATAGGTACCCAGACCATTTCATTGAAGTGGTGTGGGTACAGTGTCCCTGTCCCCCTTAGTACTGCAATGTAAAATGTTTACATTACATGGTTAAAGGAACGCTATAGTGTTAGGAATACATAGCTATATATCTAACACTATAGTCTCTGACCCCCTGCTCTCCCCTGCCATGTAAAGGGTTAAAAGAACTTTTAAACTCCAGGGTCAGGGTCCTCTTCCAACAACGTCAGACGATGGGGGGGGAAATTTAATGGCATGCACACATGAGGACTACCCTATTGGAAAGCATGGACTAAATGCTTTTCAATGGGGGTTTCCAACATGTTTAACATCCTCATGCAAAGTGTGAGGCCATCCAGCGTCGTTTCACAGAAACAAACTCAGTGAAACTGCAGGAAGCAACTCTAGTGGCTGTCTGGTAACAATCCACTATATGCAGTCTTAACACTGCAATGAAAACATTGCAGTTTCTCTAAAAATGTAAAATGTTTTACATTGTAGGGTTAAAGGACCACTATAGGCACCCAGACCACTTCAGCTGAATTAAGTGGTCTGGGTGCCAGGTCCAGCTAGGGTTAACCCTTTTTTTTATCAACATAACAGTTTCAGAGAAACTGCTATGTTTATGTTAGGGTTAATCCAGCCTCCAGTGGCTGTCTCTTGACAGCCGCTAGAAGCGCTTGCGTGCTTCTCACTGTGAAAATCACAGTGAGAAGACGCAAGCGTCCATAGGAAAGCATTGTGAATGCTTTCCTATGGACTGGCTGAATGCGCGCGCAGCTCCTGCCGCGCATGCGCATTCAGCCGAAGAGGAGGAAAAGAGCTCCCCGCCCAGCACTGGAGAAAGAGGTACGTTTAACCCCTTCCTCTCCCCAGAGCCCGGCGGCAGGGGGACCCTGAGGGTGGGGGCACCCTCAGGGCACTATAGTGCCAGGAAAACGAGTATGTTTTCCTGCCACTATAGTGGTCCTTTAAGGGGACAGGGGCACTGCACCCAGACTATTTCAATGAGATTAAGAGGTCTGAGTGCCTATCAGTGTCCCTTTAAGACTGTGTCTAGTGGTTGTATACCAGACAGCCACTAGAGATGCTTCCTGGTCTTTCACAGAGTTTAAACCTGAAACGACACTGGGCATCCTTACACTTTGCCTGTGTCCTCAAATCCCCCATAGGAAAGCAGTGATTCAAAATACACGCGCATTAGGTTCCCCCCATTGTCGGAGGTGGTAGAGATGGAGCCAGCAACGGAAAAAGGTAAGTGTTTACATTTTTTCTTAACCCTATCAAGTATCTCTTTAACTTCTTTTATTTCACTATCTGATTAAAGGTACAATATAATCACCAGAACAACTACAGCTTATTGAATTTGTTGTGGTGAGTAGAATCATTCCCTCCAGGCTTTTTGCAGTTAATACTGTCTCTTCAGTGTTTACATTAAAACCTAGTGATAACTCCACTGGCCACTGTAAGGAAACCAAGTGTATTTAAACCTCATTCGGTAGTTTCCTCCCGAACCACCAGAGCCTTAGTGATTATAGCCCTCTGTTCTGTAGATAAAGTAGACGAAGCATATAGTAATCCCAATAGCTTCACAAGATGATTCCCTTAGTGAAACATACGAAAACATCAGCCGAAGAAGGGTACAACTGAACTGACTTTTAATGGGTGCACACAGGCTTTTATGCAAGTCCCCATGCAAGGGGACATCCCTCAGGGAGGGACAAAGATTAACCAATCACGTACTGTAAAAACATAACACACACCCACAGTTAACTCCCCTAGTTCTGGAGATAATTAAGTCTGATAAAATAATAACTTGATTATCTCCAGGCAGAAAAATCAAATTTTTCCCCAATAACTGGAACACCCCTTTATACTTGGAGTATCCCCACAATTTCACCCAGATTGGTTGAGGGGTTCTCAAAAACAATGGAAGTCTTCTGTGACCGATTCACCCTCGGTAAGTCGAGTGTCCAATTTCAGTTCCATACACTCGACGACCAAGTCCCGCTGCCTTTGTTCACATGAACAAAGATGGCCACTGTTTTCTCTGCCACGTGGCGTTCGGCAGTACGAACGCTGGCCGCACAGACAGAGGCATCAATTGAAGCAGTGTTTGATGTTTAACGAGCCAGGGGGTGGTCTTTGTTCAGTAGTTACAATAGGCAGAAAATAGTGTACTAAAAGTGAGATTTCTTCACACTGCTCCCCTATAAGTCCATAGGTCGGCATACCCGCCTAGACCCTGTCGGGTTGGCTTGGGGGTGTCCGAGAAATGTCTTTTAAGCGTCCAGTTCAGTCTGTCGGGACAGACCGTCGGCATTACCATTTTGTTTGCCTGGACGCTATTGCATTGTAAAATTGTAGGGCTGAAGGGCTAGGCTCCACCGTAATAGCCTGGGGTTGTCACCAGCTACCCGGTTTAGCCACACAAGGGGGTTGTGGTCGGTCATGAGCGTAAAGGGCCGTCCGTATAGATAGGGCTGAAGTTTCTTGAGAGCCCAAACTAGAGCGAGGCACTCTTTCTCCACAGTGGCATAGCTGACCTCTCTGGGCAGAAGTTTACGGCTGAGGTATGCCACCTGGTGCTCCCACTTGGCTCAACACGGCTCCCAACCCAAACATGGAGGCATCTGTGTGGACAAGAAATTGCTGCCAACACAGGAGCCTCGCTTAATGCCGCTTTAAGTCTCTGGAACGCGTCCGCGCACTCTGGGGTCCAGGTTACTTGCTTTGGTAGGGCCTTTTTGGTAAGGTCGGTGAGGGGTTTGGCCAGGGCGCTGTACTCTAGGACAAATTTTCAATAGTAACCGGCCGTCCCTAAGAAGGCTAGTACCTGGGTTTTGGTACAGGGTTGGGGCCAATTCGCTATGGCCTCTACTTAAGCCAGCTCTGGCCGCTGCTTACCGGAACCTACCCTGTGGCAGAGATACTGTGCCTCGGCCATGCCTACATGGCATTTGTCAGGCTTCAATGTGAGACCGGCTAGGTGAATTCGCTAGAGTACCCTGGACACGTGCCCCAGGTGGTCCTCCCAGGTGCGGCTGTAGATGGCAATTTCTTCTAGATACGCACATGCAAAGTCCTGGAACCCCTCCAGGAGCCTATCGGCCATCCTCTGAAAAGTAGCCGGAGCATTCTTCATCCCAAAGGGTATGACCTTGAACCTGTATAGCCCAAATGGGGTGACGAATGCAGACTTGGGAATGGACGCAGGCTCTAAGGGGATCTGCCAATACAAAGTCCACACAGAAGCGTGTGGTGCCGAAAACATTTTGTGGTATCCCTGAAGCAGTTGGGAAGTCTCACCTTTATCTACTGGGTTTAAGTTCTGACCCAAGTTGACTTGATCAATCATACACGGAGAGGTATCTAACAAATCCGGGAGGGGTAGTCCCTCGCTATCTTCCGAAGAGGAGGCACATACTGCGCCCACATCTTCCATTCTTTCATGATATGGTTTGAGCATGTTAACATGAAAAGCTTTGGTCAGCCTTTCATCTGAACATTTGCTCACAATATAGGTGGTATCGCTTATGCGCTCTACCACCTTAAAGGGTCCTTGCCAGGCCGCCTGCAACTTGTCCTTCTTCGCTGGCCTTAGGGCCAACACTTTCTGCCCTATTTCTAATACAATATCTCTGGCACCCCTATTGTACCACTTCTTCTGGCCTTCCTGCGCCGCCCGGAGGTTCTCCCGAACCGTTTCGGTGAGAGCCTGTAGGCGGTCCTGGAATTCCAGAATGTACTGGACAATGGTCACGGTCTCGGCCTCTATGTTGGGAAGGGCCACCGCTTCCGAGTATCTAGTGGCGTAGTCCACTACAGTTAGAATGAATCTCTTGCCGGACTGACTGGGTCGGCTGAGAGGTCCTATTAGGTCCACTGCTACGCGGTGGAAGGGTTCTTCTGTAATTGGTAAAGGGTGGAGTTTGGCTTTCTGGTGATCACCTCTCTTCCCTATTCTTTGACATATGTCACATGTCCTTCAATAATACTTCAGATCTTGTGTGATCCTAGGCCAGAAGAACGTTTGGGTCAATCGGTCCCTCGTCTTTTTGACCCCTAGATGTCCCGCTAGGGGGATATCATGGCTGAGTTTTAATAACTCAGCTCGAAATTTACAGGGTACTACCAGTTGTCTTTTAGTGACCTGCGTTGCCCCGTGTCCCACCCTTTCTGTCACTCAGTACAATAATCCCTTATACCATTCAATTTTTTTGTGGGTGGTGTCCCCCTTAGGGATCTCTACGGCCTTTCTATACCCTTCTAGAGTGGGGTCTGTCCGCTGCTCTTGTTCAAACCCCTGTGGTGTATCCCAGAAAGTGGTAGGGGGGTCTGGCAAAGGGGGTATGTCAACTCCTACCTGGTTGTCCTCAGAGTGCAGCGGTGCTTCCAGTCGGGCTTGGGCTCGGGTGGTAACGGGGTAGGCTTCCACTGTAGTGTCCTGGGTTAGTTGCGAAGTTAAACAGCCAACGTCATTTCCCAACAGGACCTCAGCTGGCAGCTCCTGCATAATGCCGACTTCCAACTGTTTGGACCCAGAACCCCAATCAACCAGTACATTGGCTGTAGGTAGCTTGTGTATAGCACCCTCAGCCACCCTTACGGCTACGGTGCGACCTGTGCGAGTTGGGGTCTTGATCGTGTGGGGTTGTACT